TAATAGTGACTGACCTACTACACAAGTGATGGCTTCACTGTGTGCACCTACTTTTCATTTTATTGTTTTCAAATTTTAAAGTACGATTTCTTGCGTCAGCCTGGTTGATATATTGTTGCAAAAAGGTACTGGGATGCACGGTCATTTTTCAATTTTTTGGATCTAAGCTTTTTCCCCCCTTAAGGGGGGAGGCTACCGTGGAGACCGAACTTTTTTATTTTTTAAGATATCTGGATGAAACTTTCAGGGTCGGTTCACTAAAATAAAACTAGCACAACTGCTAAGTTTCACGAAGCTGTGTTTCTTAGTTCCAGAGTTATTGAGGTTTAACTGGGTGCTTCACATGGGTGCCTGAGGAAGAGTCGTGAGAAATCCCAGGACATAGTAGAAAGCTGAAATTCATTGTGGTCATTCCTTGATAGCTATCCCAGGGCGCTACAAAGCCGTTTTTTTTAATTCCCCCCCCCCCCCCCCCCCAAATATTTTCACGCAACTTTGAATTTGATGTATCCAGTAATGACCAGATTCATCAAAAATTAATTGTTTATTATAAATTAACAGCACCAATTTTCAAAAAAAGGACCTTGTTACGCCCTTGCAAGGTCATTCAGGAACAGAATAAAAAAAACGGCCCACAAATCTGATGCACGGTTTTCGAGTTCTTGCTTTCCTCAGCACCACAACTAGCAAAAAAATCCGTTCTGAGAAAACAGGCCGAGAAAGTTCAAAACACGTGTTTTCTTCAAAAAGCTCCAGCCCAGTAGCTAGAAGTGTCCTGGCGCACTCTTTTCTTCTTTTGCCTGGCCTCCATCTTCTCTTGGTGTCTTTTAGAATTCTTTTTTAGGCGTAAAGCGTCTTTTTTTACGAGCTCGCTGGATGGCCAGATGACCTGGTTGAAGTCCAATGGAGTCCGATATCACTTGGGTTGCTTTGCAGCAGCCGGCATTGTGGCGCAGCACTGCTTTATGCAGTGCTGTTTCTACCGCGATCAAGGATGAGTGTTGTTCCTTCGGCATCAGAGACCACAGAATGGAGTGGAATGATTCTGATGCATTTTGCGTCTTCGCTCCCAGGCAGCGCTGAAGAAGCGACTTTTGTGACAGTCTTTCGTAGATGGGCAGCATAGCTGCAGCGACATAGTCCGGTAGGCTGTGTTTATGTTTTGGCTGTGGCTCACGCTTTGCCTCTGCAGCTCTATGGTGGCACCACGATTGAGCCCCCTCTGGGCAAAGTTCATGGTGAGGGTTCTGGTCAGTCGATGTGACGTGGTGATATGTTGCTATCACTGCACGCTGCATGGCTGTTAGGTCAGTTGAATTGTTTCTCAGGGCCCAACCATAATATCCTGTCAGCTTTTCAATGAGGGCTTTAGTCAGCTTCCCCTTCCCACTCAGTGGCTTATCACTTTTCTGCACAATGTTTCGAAGAGCACTTCCAATCCTTTTCTGAACATGGTTCAGACATTCTTCTTTTACAATTAGCACTAGCCCGTACACATTCTCTTCTGTGAGGGCAGCGAAGGTACGGCTGTCTCCGTCGGACACAAGAGTGGTGTACCGCAGGCCATGCTTGGATACAGACCGCCCAAAGAGAGTCAAGCCTGCCTCCACTTCCATGCTTCCTGATTTTGCGTCTGTGTTTTTCTGGCAAATGTGGTGCTTCTGCCAGCTTTTGTATGCTGCATCTCCAGGTTTGGGCCCTGTTTGGCATCAAAGGCAGTGGTTTGAAAGAACTACAGCATCCAAGATGAGACCTGTAAAGGAGTCAATTACCGATCCCACTCCGATGTGTGATGTGTGACCCCGCTTATGCCATGTGCCATCGTACACTACGGTGATGTCCTTGCAGAAGCTGGGGTCCATTTCTTTATATGTTTTGATCACTGCTGTGGCAGAATCAGCATAAAACTTCTCCAAAGCGGTGGCCTCAGGCTTCCTGAACGTCTCTTTCAAGTGCTTTTGAAACGTCTTGTGGTGAAGACCTCTGTAAGAGACGTTTGTGGCAGCCCAAAAGTCATTAAGAGCTGTTTGCCCCTTGCCTATTTGCTTTATAGCCATTATGGTGCGGACATTTACATTGAAGGCCTGCGTGTCCTTTTTGTGGGGTGATGTCCATAATTTATCGACGGTGCCACAAGAGGCGCACACGACTTCAAGTTTTGTTGCAAGTCCAAGCTTGGTGCTCTCTCGGACAGTCATAGCACCTTTCAAACATTCTTTGCACACTGTGCGGCTGAGCACGACGTTAAAGATGTTCATTTGAACGAGCGAAAAATGTTCGCCCTCACTTGTCACTGCAGGTGCAAGAGCCGGCTGCATCAGTTGAAATTTCTTCTGCGTCGCCGGCGTAGACTCGAGTTCAGCGCGAACGGCGTCACGACGTTTCGCCTTCGCATTGATTTCTTCCTTCGTTTGGAAACGCGTCCGCAGATGAAGCGACGGTTCACTCACGCTCGATGGCGGCACCGATTCAGACGAAGTGCTGGGTCCGGCGATATCAGAAGCACTCGGTGTCACACTGGATGGCATCGATTCGGAGCACGTGTCGAGCCCGGCGATCTCGAAAACACTCGGTGCATTTGCGGCTTCAGCCACACTCGATGTGTCGGATTCTCGACTGGCGACAGCCGACAACACAGTTCCGTCGCTGCAAGCGTCTACGCAGTCGGCACCCGCAGCAAAATAGCGGAATTTCGATGATCGTACAAGCCGCATAGCGCGCCTCCGCGCACTAAACTTCCGCACTGACTTCGGCTTCGTTGCCGGCATCGCCCGCAACAACAAAGACGAAAGGCACAGAACTAGTGCAAAAGAAAAAAAAACGAGAAAGAATGATCGAAAAGATAGCACACGGCGAAGAGCGGCTCGTAAGCAGACGTCTGTTGAGCCGGATGGAGCAGAGAGCAACAACGAAGCGAGCGCGCTGGACGCGCCATCGAGAGGAGCGACCGCCCCCGCTGCTGCACAGCAGCCAATGGCGGGCACGCTTTCTCCCGCGAGATATGAATGCGCTGCTCTAGCCAATCAGCGCTCCGCATCGCATCGCGGGAAAACGCCAATAGCGTCTCAACTGTGCTGCCGACGCCATTTTGCAAGGCGGCGAACGAGAGAGAAAGAATACACGGTCAAAACAACACCAAGATGGCGCGGGACGACCGCATGGTCCGGGAATGGCGCGTGCGCGAAGTTTGGTTTGATTTCGGGATTTGCGCCTGTTTTGGACGCCGCGGCGGCCACGAAAATAGTATTTTTTTTGCACTTTGCGGTTGAATTAGGTGCTGATAATTACAGAATAGGTAGTTTATGAGACATACAACCCAAAAATGTGGTTTTTCCAAAACCGACTTTTTCGCGATTTTTCGGTTTTCAAGGGCCGCGTCCCTCCTTAACCTTTATTATCCCAATTGTGAAAAAAAAGGGGGTATGCTTAGAATCAAGTAAATATGTGATAGTTTGCACATAACCCCCGTAAAAGTGCATTCATTGCAGTGGAGGGGTGCTAAGCCGTGAAAGCACCTTTTTATTGAAACTTGGCATTGCCGCAAAGCCCCACTTCAAGGTTAAATATACATATCACCCTCACATCGATTCATCATTTTTGATGTTTAAAAACTTTTTATACTGGCTTATATGCTCTAAGTATAGTAAGTAATAAAATGTTACACATTTTACAAGTTATCGCTTACATTCTACCAAAAGTAAAATTCTACAACTATTTAAAGTTGTTTCCACTTCCTTTGAACAAAAAAAAATAGGCATTTGAAAGGCCTTGTTTCAATTAAAAAAATATATATATATATATATATAATCATGTGCAGATTAGTTAGGTCTTGACAGATATGCCGATTTTGGTTTATAACATTTGATATATATGCTATTCGAATTCGATTTAAAATTATTTGACCAAAAGCAATACAGCCGAGCCCCACTATAATGAACTCAAAAGTACTGCAATAAATGGTTGTTATACGAGTAGTTCCTTGCATATAGACTTGCCCATATAAATGTGCACTTAGCGACCAAACAATTTTTCTGTGAATTTTCATTGCAAAGTGCTAACAACCCCTCTAATGACAAGGTGGGCCAATCCGTGTTTAAGTGACGCCCATTTGCTCACGAGTGAATTAAAACCACATTTGCAATGAGCTCATGTCGTTACACTGCCGGGAAGCATGGTACTGCTACATCAAACCAATCATCCCTGGTGAGTTGCAGGCAGCGTTTCGCCTACTCGGCTCTTGCCGTCGCTTGTTGGGTTGTTTCCAGTCCAATGCATGCCCGCGTTTGTGTGTTATTCAAGCATGCTTCAATCGGGATCGTGCTTAGGTGCAGCGAGTAGCCTGTTCATCTAACACAATGAAGACGAATTTCGTAAGCAATGCTCGCAAGCTGCCTTGAAAGATGCGGCGACGGTGAACTTGCAAACGGCGGCATGACGCGCTTGATCGCAGTCACTGTGCTGAGCAGCTAGCTATGTGCAGATGACTGTGATAAGATTGCCGGCGATGAGTCAATAGCACGTTCATCGCAATTGGCCCCCTCGCCATCGATATTCCGTTATATCCAGGTTCCTTATATCGAGACGTGTGTATTTTCATGTGGTGCTTCCGATAATTTGCATTAGCGCTGAAGCAGAAATCTCTTGGCTACTGTAATGAGAGTTAAACAAAAAAAAAAAGCAGTGCTGTCCAGCTGGATGACAACACCCTCGATTGATCGATTTGTGTGGTTTAACGTCCCAAAGCCACCATATGATTATGAGAGATGCCGTAGTGGAAATCTCCGGAAATTTTGACCACCTGGGGTTCTTTAACGTGCGCCCAAATCTGAGCACACGGGCATACAACATTTCTGCCTCCATCGGAAATGCAGCCGCCGCAGCCGGGGTGGATGACAACACCCTTCTGCATTAATTTTGCATGCTGTGAGAGCTGCTCTCACAGACCTATCCATACCTCTGCACAGTGCTCTAAGACCACTCAAAACCAAATGCATACTCACTGTCCATGGACGGCCTCTGGCTGTCATCAAGACCTTGAGGTGCATTATAACTACGCAGGTCCAGGCTTTGGGAGCCAAGGTCTCCTGAATATCTATCTTGACCAGACAGTGAAGCATAATCCCCCGACTGGCTTCCCATGACCCTGCAAAAACCAAAAGGCACAAAAACACATCAAAATTTCCGACCGAGTATCATCGTCATCAACCTGACTATGTCCATTGCAGGACAAAGGCCTCTCCTGTGTTCCGCGAGTCAACTCGGTCCTGTGCTTGCTGCTGCCACTTTATACCTGCAAGCTTCCTAATTTCATCTGCCCCCCTAACTTTCTGTCTCTCCCTAACCTCCCATATGCATACGACTGAGCATATAAAGTCCTGATTGTGTGATGGAGTAAATATAAAGGTTACTGCAAGAAAAATATAATGTCTTTGATAACAAACAAGATCAAAATTAATCTTCTATTACCCCTCTTTAGAAATTACCTAGAATCTGCAATAATGAGAATCAGAATGACGGGAAATCATAGCCACTACGATCATGCTGCGCATACTATGGGGTGCTGTACGTCTCAGAAGCCTACGTTCAGGAATCCTCATCATATAATGTTAATGTGGTAATTCTGTGGTTGATTCTATGACAATGACGACGGCAACCCACATGGTGGTCTGGGGGTTATCATGCTTGATTGCAGATCCAAAGGTCGCAGGATCAAATCCCGACAGCGGCGGCCACATTTTTATGCAGGCGAAACACTAGAGGCATGTGCGCACATTGCAGCACGCCAGATGGATGCTAGAAGCACTTAGGCGCACATTACAGAATCCCAGGTGGACGAAATTTTTTAAGTTTGCGACTAAGCATCCCTCATAAGTATATTGCGGTTTTCAGATGTAAAGCCCCATTAATGATTTCAATTAGGATGACGGCAATGTCACAGGTTCAAATGGCAGGTCTGCTGCAGCATGGTGTGCTTCAGGTTGCGCAATGTACCTTCTGTATACTAATGGTTTCTTTCCTGTTACATATTTGTTAAAGGTAAAGGGTCAGCTCGCTACAACACCAAGAACTGAATCTTTGCTCCCACCACAATGAACGACTGCACGGCCGACCCAGCGTGCGTAAAGTCTGTAAGGCCCACCGGTGATTCTCTCACGCTCACTGAATCCCACCACGTTCCAACAGCACCTGTATGTCGACAATAAGCTGACGAAGGTGTCAGCAGAAAAAAAAAAGAACAGTGTTCTCTGTGCAGTGATCCGCCAAGCTAACTGCATAGTTTCAAAACAAATGGCATATAATAATCATACTGTAGACGACAGTGCTTACTTTAGTCGCACATACCATTTGGGTAACCAATAAAAGTATATCTGCTGTGCTAGCAATATTCGCTGCCCAGCATCACGCTTTAAAAAAATGGAGTATTCAGGGAGTAGTTATGCTACACGACAATAATCGTCATCTGACGTGCTCACATTTCCTTTCTTGAAAACTTGGCGCTGGCCGCTTTCCTGTCGGGAATGCTATGTCACTTGCGTGTGCCATTCACGACCGCAAACTACTGGAACCGTGGTGATAGCGCGAGGAAAGTACTTGAAGTAGATGACGATTATTGATGTGTAGCAGCAATGCTACCCAAATATTTGATTTTTTTTTAGAGTGTACCATTGCTAATCATGACACTTCAGTTATTTTTGCTGTCCCAAGAAAAGTGCCTCCGGAAGTATATCTTTAGAGCTGACCTTCTCTCCACACACGCCGTGCTTATCTAGTGCTCAGCTGGAGTTTTTTGGCTAGACTCGCTTGGTGCTCGAAGTTTTCCACTGGGGCCACGCCTACCTCCCAGTTAGCTGAAGCAGTCACGCCTCAACTTGTCGCGAAATCAGCAAACCTAAACAGCTGCACTCAGAATTCGCGAAAAGGCAGTCTCGTAACTATCGGTCGGATTTCTTTTTTCTTTTTAAACACTTCAGGTGTTCCTCTTCATTTCTGTGAAGATGCAAAGAAGCAACATTTAATTGTTATCGCCATTATTTGGCATGGAAAACACTGCAGTAGCTGGTCTATTTTACCATGGAAGATGCACAAAAGTTCACAGTGCAGTGGCTGTCTATTGTATAATAGTACAGCAGTCACGGATTCAATGCAACAACAAAGCTTTTGTATAATGACAGGTATGAGCAATTTCTCAAGATGAGCCCATCATGTCATGAAGAGTCTGGTCTCTAAAGGTAATGTTGGCTCTAATCTACCTGTATGGGTCGAACTTACACAGCTATGGCCCAAACAGTGGGAACGAAGCTATGTGCGTTACTCGGCCCTAAATAGTCCTTGTTTCAATCTGCAAGTACTGTACATCCAATATATTGCTGCAACTTGGTATTGTAAGCAGCTCAAGCTGGTTCGATTGCTTCATGCATTCGCAATCTCTATAAAGGACTCTACATGTAAATCTCATACACAAAATAGCCAAGTCGAAAACAGCCATAGAGACAATACAAGAAATGAGGATCTGGAACTTATAAACGATCCTCTAGCTCAGTTCCTGTAAGCTTAGAATGACCCTACTCTAGAAAACCAGCAGTCTGGACAGAATATGTTGAAGTGTGTAAAAATGCAATGGCATATATAGCAAGGATTGAAAGCTAGAATCTTCCAAGGAATTTTATAATTCTTTATGCCATAGAGCTTCGTAAGAGCAAAGTGGTAGCTTACGCATCAGGAGAAGAGATGCCATACTTTCGTCGCAAAGCTTCTCCGATGGGAACTGTTTGGGAGCTTCATCAGCTTTTCCTCACATTGCCGGCGGTACGAAATTTTGCCCACCAACCACCCTACAAACCCGCGCCTACGGGAATTAGAGAGAGAGAGAGAAAAAAAGATACAAACATAAAACATGCATTCACAAAAATGCTTATTTATACCTTATTTATTGCTTATATTGTCCAATCCTTACTATTAAAAATGCTTATTTGAAGTTCAGTGAAGTATCTAAAAGCAGCCTGAAAATGAGACACATAATTAAGGCCTGTCTTCTTTAGATATAGAGGCTGTGCACATTGTTTGCAAGTTATCAACATCACAGCTTTGTCGATATTATTTGGAATATTTCACAGTAAGCTTTTGCACCATACATAGCCAAAGAGCTAGTAGCATTATATGGAATATGAAATAAACACCACTGCTTTAGCCAGTTACATTGCTTGGAAGAGACACCAAAGTGAAAACCATTTTTTTTTCTAGTACTGGTGGATCACTATTTCACAGCATCTATTGATTGATTGATTGACATGTGGGGTTTAACGTCCCAAAACCACCATATGATTATTAGAGATGCCGTAGTGAAGGGCCCCGAAAATTTCGACCCACTGGGGTTCTTTAACGTGCACCCAAATCTGAGCACACGAGCCTACAGCATTTCCGCCTCCATCGAAAATGCAGCCACCGCAGCCGGGATACGATCTCGCGACCTGCGGGTCAGCAACCGAGTACCTTAGCCACTAGACCACCACGGCGGGGCCTTTCACAGCATCAAAATCACCACACTTGCCTAGAGGAAGCACTGCGCAAGTAAGAAAACGTACAAAAAAAAAGATGTGGGTGGCAATGCCACATTGAAATTTCTGCACCAATTACCATGACATTAGATGTTGAGGGTGTTTGCTAAGACCTACATAGTTCCCAATGAATAAAAATTATGTACGTTGTTTTCTGATGGGGCCAGAAATGTTATATACCAAGCTTCAGAAAACATTGAGTCAATGTTAGAGAGGTACAAAAGGCGCACTTTGAAGTTCGTGACTTCACGCACGGAGGTTTCGTCAACAAATTTAAAACTAAATCTTAGACCTATATTTTTTTTTCTGTTGAATACCGACTATGGTGAGGATAATGTCTTCAGCCATCAGCGTGAAACTTGTCAATCTAAACAGATTAACTGCTTCAATGCAGTGTCCCTATAAGAGGAGATTACACATGGCTGTTCAACCACAGTTCTACATCGTAGAACCACAGTTCTACATCGTAGGTGATGTATAAATGAGACTTTGTGCACCTGAAATACACAGAGAGTTTTAAATGACTTACTACAAAAAGAGCTAACATTATTCACTGACACTGTGCTTATATTCATCGGCTGAAAGCTACAGCAGCACTGCTTGCCATGGTAATAGTTTGGGATGTAGGAAATGACTGATTGGCTTGTAGGAGTGGCTTGCAGCAAGCTTTATATTTGCTTCAGATCTGAGACGGCATCCCCCCAGTGGACTTAAATGAAAGCTGAGGTCGTGCACACTGTCAAGCAATAACAGCTCTTGTTTACACAACATACAGTGAAATGTTAGGATTAAGTAAATATATACAGAAGGACCCATATTTTTGTGTCTGAACTTTCACAAACAGTGAGGCTGCTGGCACTGCAACCACTCTTGCCATTAGTGCAGAAATAAAGTGCTCTATGCAGCGGTGCCTGCTAAACTTTGTGTAAATAAGTGACTGATTACAGACAATTCATCGCTTCAAAAAAAAAAAAATGTGACTGAATTAATGTGTCCATTATTGAATGAAGAAAGTTCTTAGTTACAAAAGTACAAGAAATGTACTTCATTACAATAGATTAACTACATACAAAGCATTAGATACAAGTGTGCTTTTCAGGCTGCTAAGCCAATTTCTAAACTGCCATACTTTGCGTTATGGATGTATGACTGCTTCCTGATGGCAAGTCTCATGATGCATAGCGCATTATATTATGCAGACAACAGCACTGCCTGCTTGTACATGCACACTATCTAACATTGTACACATTCCCCCAATCATAGGAGCCAAAGCCACCCGACTCCTCATCATTGCCAAAGGCTTTCGTGATAACTGCAACACATGTGGCCCAAAAGATTTGACAGGCAGTGTAAAAGTGTCACAATTTCCTGGTGCTTTCAGACGAATTAAAGCCACTAGCAATATTCTCACACCTGAACATCAGAGGTGCAAAATTCAAGCCCTGTGTGGCGGCAGCACACTAAAATCTCACTGTTATTGTTAGAAGGTATGTAATCAAGCTAGCTGGCATGCCTTCATCCCCTTTTTTAAGTGGAATAATAGTTTGGGATGGCAAGGAAGGCATGCAAGGACGGGCACTTGCCAGTTTTCACATTCATTACAATCCATTTTCTAACGCATTGTAAGAAGGTCAAGTTTTGCGTAAACAGGTGCAGACAGCCTTTGATCTTGTATGCCACCACTCTATGCTGGTGTCACCAGCGACGTTATGTTCTGTCAATTCTTGCCGTGCAATGTGGACAAATCTGGATGTCATTCATACCGAACATCTTTAAGTAGGGGCCATACTTCGGGTGTGGTGCGAGGTAACCTGCAACAAGAAAAGCGAGAACAGTACACGTAAGAAAAACAGACATTAATCATATATTCTTGGGTCTCTCAGTAGGAGGTCCTAAACTAAGATCAGTCACCGATCGATAATGTAGGCAAACCTCTTTTCTCAAAGTCTGAACCTTTGGAACCTCATCATACACATGCTCTTCCTGAGAGTGTGCACGTAAGGTAAAGGAGTTTCACAGTGATTTACTAACTCTACAAATAAGGCGTGAGACCTGGATGCATCCGCCTAACTAAGCAGCCATACTAGAAGTTCAGAAGAAAACTCTCCACACGATCATGCACACAGCATTATGGGGCAAGAACAAACACACCACATTGTCTTTACAATATATAACCTTTTTTCTTCACCCTCGCCCCCCCCCCAACCCCCAAAACAGGCGACCTACAAATATCAGCTTTCTTACCAACTTTGACAGCATACTGAACTCCAAAAGCGGCCAGTAGTCCTAGTGGCAAGGCTGAAAGATGAAGTGTATGGTAAGTCAGCCAACAAGCATGTCTGAGCATGCACACACACACGCACACAAACACCACTGCATTTGTACAAGCCGTGAAAATGATGCAAGTCGAAAGCTTAGGCTTGCATGACTATAGACAGGTGATGTCTCAAAGACATGAGCCAAAAACAAAGTCACAAATGCAACATCTACTTATTCTAGCTGGAAAAAAAGCTAGTGGTGCAGCTTAAATTAGGCCTCCATGCTGCACTCTACAACTAATTGGTTGCGAAACTTTATTGTGGTCCTGCAAGGCGCGCGTCAGCGCGCAGCGGGCGACTTCCACGTCGGTACCGTTAGGCCAAGCCTATCGGCTGCTCCGCGTGCCTGCTAAACGGCCCAAAGTTGGTCGGCCCAAAGTTGGTCGGCCAGGAGGGAGCTGCGTAGGGCCGCCTCCCACCTGACCGATATAGTGTTGGGGTTAGTGTACATTGCCTTGCACTCCCAGAGCATGTGCGCCAGCGTGGATACATCCCCACATGCGGGGCAAGCGTCATCTACAACTAATATCTATATTAAATATTCTGCATTGTAATTACATTTACAAAGATACCATCAGCAACGTACTAAAATCATAAGAGAAAGTAAAATACCTTTGCACAAAAACAAATTGAGCTAGGGATGGTGCTTCAGTAGCACCCAGTGTGTCGTAACGAAATGAGAACCGAAAATTAAAAAAAAAAGATACTTTTGACCTGAACAAAAACATAAACAAAACATTATCAGTTATTTCATCCCGCAGTAAAACTGAACTTTTTAAATCGCTTTTTGGTTCACGTGAAAACTTGGCAATCTGGAACAACAAAGGCATTACAACAGGAGCAATCATGCATATCTTAGAGCACAGTATGGAGCATATCTTAGGCAGGAATTCAAAAGTAAAGATCTGTCGAAGTTGTGCGAAATACAAAAACAGTGGCAACCAGAGATGTTTATATTAACGCATGCAAGTGGACTTTCGTGTGCCTGTCACACAGGCTAGCATGGAGAGGGCATTCTCGGTGCTGAAGTTTGTTTCATCAGAACAGTTTTCTCGCATATCAAGGGTAAACTCAATGACATAAAGCTTCCGAGATCATGCTCGCTCCCTTGAAGCAAAGCATTAAGCCTGCTAAAAAAAACTTAGGAATTCACTTTAGAAAACAAAATATTACAATTATGAGGGTATTGGTTCGGCACTGATTTGTAAAAATTCGTGGTACAGTAAGATGCACTGCTCTAAGAAATGTGGGAAGAACGTGTTTTAGCTCTGTCACACTTTCTAATGAGGAGTGTAACTATACCGCAAATCCAATATTTTTATCATTACTTTGACACGTAACTTTTGCATCGAATAAATACATTACCAACCGTTCTGGAACATTTCTTTTTTGTTCCTGCACAGAAACAGAGCCAAACTTGTTGTCGTGGAATGAAACTAAAACCAAGATGAAAAACATTTAATTCCAGCATCCTGGTACCACCTGTGCTTTTTTAAAACACAGGATGTCATAAAAAATAGCAATGTTCCTGTTGTTTTTTTTATACTACCATCTTTACGCAGCTTTTTTACAGGCATAACACACCCATATAAAAAATGAGGGCCCAACTATCAACCTATGAACTTTCAGAAGCATAGAATATACTGCAGACATGATAAAACTGGCATTCCAAGCATTTGTTTCTGTTAATTGTTTGTCATAAGCATATTTTTATGGAACGCCTACATATTTATTCACAATGACAACCAGCACCTACATCAATTATAATAATTAGCTAAGACACATTCTCATCAACAGATACTGTAATATGAGACAGTACGTAGGCTTTGTTAGCATGAACACCAACGTCTTACATGAGCCACTCCTGTGTAGTGCGGACGATATAGCTGCAGAGCTTTTCAGGGTGCACTTCTTTTCATTACCAGAACAAACAAGACCCAGAAATGGCCGAACACATATGTAGTGAGGGCTTAGAAGCTTCCTTTCATTATATTCAGTGCTGCTAATATTTGAAGAATCTGCAAATCTTTGCTCGCCACTGGAATGCTTAAACGAGTGTTTGGCAGGCAACAAAATCTACATGTGCGATTGTAGACGACTTTCTAATCCACAGATACTTGTCTGAGAGCGCGACGACATGCTAGGGCCACTGCTTCCATATTTAACTTCAGCTCCCTCGGCATTAGGATGGCTCTAGTACGTCAGCACACTACTACTTAAAGAGAGAATGTGATTCTGGTACTGTTCCACAAATGAAGAACAGGCACAGAGTGTTTTGTTGTAGCAATAAACTTACCACAAATCCCAAAATGGCACACAAGAAACTCACCACGGTACTTGAAGCTTTCGTTGCTGCATTCTTGAAAGGTCTTTATTTCCTCTGGCGTTAAAGTGTGGCTCTTGAAAGAAGTACAGTCAATCCATACGTCAGACTAAAGCTTATACAGAGTTGATTTGGTTTCTTCACTGATTGTGACAGCTTAACATTTCACAGCATATCAGGAGGCAACTATGCTCGGGGCACCTCAATTATCAGTGAGTGTATGCTCATTAATGGTTGGGGCACGCATCTTCCTGCCCACAGCACAGTGCGTGCCTTTGTGTTCTAAATCGAAGGTGCTGAGGCACAGTAAGTGCACTGTGGCACACAAGCTTTTCTAGGTGTTTCAAAAAAAAAGGGGGGGGGGGTGCAGCTTGTGTCAGCCGAACGTTAGTGCGTTTGTGGGGGAGTGAGTTTGTATTGGTTTACCTTAATTTGTAGGAGATATCTTAATTGGATTTGCACTTTGATATGTGTACAGACGTGCCTGTGACGTAATGAGTGTGTATTTTTCTAAATTTTTTGTAAACAAGTTATAACTGAGTACTCATCTCCTCTTCTTGTCTCTCTCTTGTGCAGTCTTTACTCTGCTCTTATTTTAGGACATGCTTCTAGGAGAGCCTTCCATTTTAGGACATGCTTTTAGGACAGCCTTCCAACACGTACACAAGAGAGTTATGGTGACCACACACTGTGGGGGTTGACAACAAACTGTGCTTAGCCCCCAGCATATGTGGTCACCATAATTTTTTTCTTGTGTACGTGTTTTGAAAGCTAGCTTCCACGATTTGAAACTCGATGTACCAACAGGCCCAACACCAGATTATTCTACTACATTCACTCTACTGGATGACATGCTCATAACAAACTACTTCACGCGGTGTTTTACCAGCCATCTTTATAGATGTGTTCTGAAGTGTCCGGGCAATACCGGTTTGCATGGAGCCATGGAGCGTAGCTTTCCATTCCCGACATGCTTCTGTGCAGTCTCACCAAATATGAGAAGCGGCAGAGAAACAAAAGTGCGGTGTTCAAAACAATACAGACGCCTGCATTCGCACCTTCCTTACAAGCACCAATGTCTGCTTCTAGGTACGCTGCTTCCTTAGGATTTTATCAGCACCCGCGAGTTGATTACGCGGTTTCTGTGTATTTCACTTATCAACTTAGCTGTGAGAGCCCGTCTTTCCAAGTGAAGTCTTTAGAAACAGTCTAAGGGTGCGAAACGGAAGACGACCAAGAACTGGTCAACTACAACTGCTGTTCATGTGAACACAGACGCAACACTACAAGAATTTGATGTGAAGGTCGTGACGGGAACTCCATAGGTAAGCTAAGTGCGCTTGATGTGACTGTTTTTGTAAACACGAAAAGCGGGTTAGGCAACAAGTCAATGAAACGGCCTCGTTTATGCTGTCAGTTCCTGCAAGCTGCCAAGTGTCGTAACACAAGCCTATATTTAGAAACAACGGCTGCTGTGCTGCCCTGCAGCACCGTTCTTGTGCAGGAACACATAAGCAGGCAGCTTGTTTCGACAATAGTCAACCGCAAAAATACTGAACAGGTCGCGCATAACCCACAGTGTGACAAGCCGCTGACACTAACGTCTGCTGAGCTATCGCTCAATGCCTCACTTGATGCCGTTGCCTCCTATCCTGATCGTAGCCACCGGCCGCTACCTCCGATGGAGGCAGCATATCGCTGGAAGTCGCCATTCTTGCTTACGATGATGGCAATGGAGATGCGGCCAACCTCATGGCACGCGTGGCTGCCACGCTATTTAGCCACACTTTACCAACGCACAACCAGTGGCACAACTAGCACAGCTACCATAGTAACTCAGCAAGATATTGTAATTGTTGTATGCAAGTTGTGTTCATTTCTTCTTTGCTGTGAGCGCTTCCTACTTACATATTTCTATTTTTGCCGGGTGTTTGAAAAAGTGATTTGGAATCTTCGAAAAAAGTGTGCTTGACACCATTCTTACATTGAATTTAGCTGTTTTCCGCATGGTCTTGTCTTACGAGCCAAAACCAAGATATGGTTATGAATCATGCGGTAGGGGTAGGCTATGCATCAATTCTGACAGCATGGACTTCGTTGAAATGGCAACCAAAATTGCAAGTACGTAGCAGTTCTTGCTTTCCGCATCCACTGTGAGTATGTAACCATCGCAATGTAGTAGGAATAGCCACTGTAGTAGTACGTGAATTATTCATTTCATGAGACGAGGCTGCACTGCGCAATAATAGTTGGAGCTCACTGGAATCCAGCAAGAGAGAACCGGGCGTAAATTATAATCCATGGCAACTCACGCACTCGACCTGCTCAAAACCAGCGCAAAATATTTGCTGGACAAGAGATGACTACCGATGCAAAGATTATACAAGAAAATATGCCCAAAAGTCCCCAAAAAACAATAGAAGGAAAATTCAGTATTTGCTTGCTGCCTTCATGAATGCTTTTTTTTTTTTAGAGGCTAAGCTCTTTAAAGCATGGGTCGGTCGTACCTGTATGTATGTATGTATGCATGTATGTAATAACCACCTCACAGCATATCTACGGAGTGAATGACGGTGAGTGGGGCGAAGCTTCAGAGGGTTTTATTGGCAAACCGGGAATCATCCGCTGGCCGCATCCGTCCGTCATTTGTCTGTTTTACGTGCGGACGGACGGACGGAAGCGTGGACGGACTGATGGACGTATCGCTCCACTGATCATCATTCACTCCGTGGATATGCTTTGATTTTTTTTCAATGCTACAGCAATTACAGAAATTAAATTAATCATCTTGCTATCTATCGGAGACGTATGGTCGCGCCAAATGTGAAAGAGTTGGAAGTTTTTCCTCTGAACAGCTCTTCGCCGCCTGAGCTTCAAAGAAAAAAAAAAAGTATGCACCAACACTCAGCCGCAATGTGGCACAGCGGTGTGCCTGGCGCATGTCGATTTCTTCTTGATTTCAACTATGATATCTTTAATCCTGGTTTGTTCCCTGACCCACTCTGCTTTCTTGTTTTTGAAAGTTACTTCTATTATCTTCATTTCCATCGCTCGCTACGTTGTCCTCAAAGCTGAACCCCCTTTGTACGTCTCGAAGTGTCTGCTCCGTAGGTAAGTACCGGCAAGAAGCAGCTGTTATATACGGTATACCTTTCTTTTGAGGGATAGTTGCAATCTACCAGTGATAATTTGAGAACGCTTGCTGAATGTGCTGCACCCCATTTTTATTCTTCTATTTACTTCAATCTCGTGGTTCCCTCCTCACGTAATGACAGATGTTGTGGAGTACTCGCTGAAGGAAATGAAAAAGAGAGACACGGGACGTTCGCTAGAACACGTGAAATGAACCAGAGTGAAGAAAATTTGTCATCGTTCCTTACAACCTGCCGAAAATAGCTGGCAGATGCCTGGTCGCTGTCGTTTTCTCTGCCTCCTCGAGCTGGCTAGCTTGTGTAGGGCCGTGAACACTGATGCTAGATGAACTCGCGCTTGCACAACCAAACATCGCCCCGCCATGTTGGTCTAGTGGCTAAGGTACTCGGCTGCTGACCCGCAGGTCGCGGGTTCGAATCCCGGCTGTGGCGGCTGCATTTCCGATGGAGGCGGAAATGTTGTAGGCCCATGTACTCAGATCTGGGTGCACGTTAAAGAACCCCAGGTGGTCAAATTTCCGGAGCCCTCCACTACGGCGTCTCTCATAATCAAACGGTGGTTTTGGGACGTTAAACCCCACATATCAATCAACCAAGCATCGAAACAAGTTTCTTTCGTGTATGAAGGCGTGGCATACACCTTGCCGCTGTCTTTTGGCAAGCGGTATACATTGGCCAAACGGGCCGGTGTCTCAATTAGCGTATAAAAGAATGCGCTTACAGTGTTTCTTAGGTTGTATCTGGCCAGCTTGACATCCACTGCCGCGGTTATGGCTGCATTCCTGAATATCAGCAGTGCACAGTTGTCGAGGGGCATCGGAACCAGAAACACAAAGAAATATCTTCGAGGTGTTAAATCGAAAGGCTTGGCAGCGCGTGCGTGAGCAGGCCATCAGTTGCCCCGAATGCTAAAGAAATCTTATCTGGTTGGGTAACAATAAGCATGTTTGACATTGATGAGGCTGATAGTTTGTTTTTAACACGAAAGTGTTTTATGCCAGAGTAGTTCACGGCTCCGCTGACTTATTTCTGTCACGCATATGACGTTTTAAAATGTATACTAAATTGCAAAGAAAAAAAAACGAGAAGGCGAGACTTTGTCGCATGGCGTCGTACCAGCAACCTCTCCGATTTCAGCGCGCGGCGCTAACCCCTACGCCAAAAGCGCACATTGTTTAGGCCGCTAATGGCAAGCCATCTACACCATACACCGTTTTGCGGTCCTCAGAGATACGAAACTTTAGCGCGTTTTCATCATCAGTCACGTAGAGAAATGGCGCGACAGGCTCTCGATGGACGTTGGGGTCACCGCGACGGAGTGCCGTCTCTACGGATTGTGGTCTCTGCTGCGTGCGCGCTTATCAGACTCGTCATTCGCGAGAGGACGAAGGTCACCTCGCTGGCTGCCGCGGCCGTGTTTACGAAACTAGCACGCTGCTGACACGCGACGAACTGTGATAGTTCGCGTTTGTCCTGTGTGTACTTGAGGGCTCGTTTTGTGCGTCTTTCTTTCTGTTTGAACAGCACGCTTCAAGTGTCAAGCTATGACAGTTGTGAGAACGCGCTCGTCCTATGGATTCTGATTTCGTGCGTGTTTTCTGCTTGAGGTGTGCGCTGCAAGTTTTGAGCTGCTTACCGTTCTTCACTTGAGTTCGCAATTTGTTGCTCAAACAATGCACAATAAACGCTCAACTATACCATTGTAAATACACCTTTTACTTTCGTGTTATACCGATTTCTGGATAAGGGGATCAGCCATGTTGTTTCAGGGATATGAAGGTGATACTTTGTTTCTCTTTATCATTTTATCGTTGTTTATCAATGTGCCTTTTATCTTTCGCCTATAGGACGGCACGAATATATGCTTACGAGACTTGTAAATGAGGCTGAAAAAATGGTTTATTTACTTGAGGTTTTCTCGGTTAATGTGCACCAACCAAGCGATACAGCGCTTTTCGGACAACATCGTCGTTCGCGCGCACTGATTTGTAATAATCGCGCGAAAACTAAACATTCTAACGCGTGGCTGTGCCTTGCCTGTAGGAGCATAAGTTGCACTTCTTCTTCTGCATCCGAAATTGACACAAATAGTCATGGTGAAGCTGGTAGCGTGACCGAAGACCAGATCTCACCGCTGCAAAACTCCTGCATGACTACGCTTCCAGGCAGCTGCATTTGCTGACAAACATGGCGGTTCTCGTTTCTCTCGTTCCTGAATGTGACATGCGTAAAACCCATGTATAAAAGCACGCTGGTCTATCGTCAGCAACGTGCCACAAGTCGGGTTTCCGACGCTGGTAAGTTCAGCGGCGATACTTTATTGAACCACGTCGTGCTGTTCGGGTGCCGACCCATTATTCGTGTCGGTGAGACCGGTGTGGGTGGCGGTGATGGGATTGGCGGCAATTAGATCGGCTGCGTTGGCAGGGTACGCAGTGGCATATAAGCGCCAAAGATGCGATTACTGTACTGCGGACAGCAGTGGCGTAAGGAATATGCAATATAACATTTTGACAGCAGTGGTTGCGGTTGTGTGCAAGCATTGACCCTTGTCTTCACTCCGTCCAGGTGGTGAATCTTATCTGCACGGCTCTTTGGACAGCGCTGCTTAGCTGTTGATGCTGTTTCCTCGGCACGCGCAACTACGTCACTGAGCTTCAGCCACTACGTTCGCGATCTACCGGAGGAAAAATCCTACAAGTACGCCATCATTCGCCATTCTTCGTCATTTTGGCAGAAGTGGTTGCGGTTGCGTGCAAGCATTGACTCTTGTCTTCACTCCGTCCAGGCCCCGCCACGGTTGTCTAGTAGCTAAGGTACTCGGCTGCTGACCCGCAGGTCGCGGGATCGAATTCCAGCTGCGGCGGCTGCATTTCCGATGGAGGCGGAAATGTTGTAGGCCCGTGTGCTCAGATTTGGGTGCACGTTAAAGAACCCCAGGTGGTCAAAATTTCCGGAGCTCTCCACTACGGCGTCTCTCATAATCATATGGTGGTTTTGGGACGTTAAACCCCACATATCAAATCATTCACTCCGCCCAGGTGGTGAATCTTATCTGCACGGCTCTCTGGATAGTGCTGCTTAACTGTTAATGCTGCTTCCTCGGCACGTGCAACCACGTCACTGAACTTCAGCCACTACGTTCGCCATCAACCGGAGGGAAAACCCTATAAATACGCCATAATTTGCCATTGCTCGTCATTTTGGCAGCAGTGATCGCGGTTGTGTGCAAGCATTGACGCTTATCCTCACACCGTTCAGGTTCGTTGCGTGTTGATACTTCTTTCTGTTTTGCGTTTTCTTTCCCCGCTTCCACTGCTGCTTTTGACATAAATTGTTTTATTGTGTGCTTTGTATTTTTTACCTCTCTTCATTGCTTATCTTGAGAATGCTGACTTACGTGGAATTATCAAAGGAACTACGGGCTCTTCGGCAGGAGGTTGCAGAGGTGAAAACAAGCCTTGCGATTTCATTGAGCTTTACGAACATGTAAAGAATGACGATGAGGCACTAACCAAGGGAACGAAGGTCCTGAGAGATGAGAATAATCAATTCAGTAAACAAATGTGTGATCTTGAACGATACTCG